TCGTGTGAGGATGTGGTGTGCTTTGTGTGCACGAGTGGGGGTTTGTCATTGCTGAGTTTGAGGTTCTGACAGCCATTGTCAGCGGATCGAGGTGCAAATACTTATAAAGCTAGCTGAATCTTTCTAATGACTACTTTTGATGTTTATGGACACATTTTACCTAACCTTTTACACTAGACTGGACAAGATTGATCTGAACACAAGGTTGGACACTGGGGTCAGTTTGTGGAAGAGGTCTTTGTATTCTTTCATAGTACAAAGAACATTGCTTTGTTGTCAACTAAACTAATTCCTACTCTAGTCTTCAAGACTAGCACTACTGAAGAAAAAAAGACTAGCACTATGCTAAACTATGAAGAAAATTAAACCTGTTATTAATCTGGGTGTGGTGACACATGCCTGGAATCCCAGCACTCAGGAGGCTGAGGCAGGATTACTGTGAGAAGCCAGACTAGGCTACACAGTGAGCTCAAAGCCAGCCTGAGCTATAAAGCAAGACCCTGACTCAAAAACAAAACAAAGGGCCAGCGAGACAGCTCAGCAGTCTAAGCACCTGCTTGCTAAGCACAAGGACCCAGGTTTGCTCCCCAGCACCACAAACTGCGCCAGCCCTGCCCTGGGTGCAGAGACAGCCATTGAGACCAGCTGTAGGGGCACACGCCTGTAATCCCAGTGCCGGGGAGGCTGAAAACAGGAGGATCATTGAGTACAAGCTGCATCGTCAGACCCTGTACCAAATACATAAAAAAAAAACCAAAACCTTACTAAATTGCTCTGTAAAAATGTTATAGAAATTGATTTATATTTGAACCTTTTCTCCTGGAAAACAAGGGCTTGTCAGGCCTATTGGTCTAATTGGAGTCCTTCCACTTAGAAAATGTCTCCACGGAAATCTTTGGGTATTTTTTTATTTTCTAGGTCCCCCTCCTCCAGTAGAATTTAAGCTATAATTCTCCCTTTTGATAGGAATAAAATGTTGACATGCAATTTATTTTTTTGTCTTTTTGAGACAAGGTCTCACTATGTAGCTCAGTCTGGCCTTGAATTCACTATGCAGCCCAGGCTGGCCTTGAAATCACCAGCGGAAGGGAGGACTGCACTGGCTTGTGGTGAGCGCTGAGACTGGACAGAGAAAGCAACTGACTGGGAGACATCATTGAGGGGCCAACTGAACTCAGAACTCAGAACAACTGTGGGGTCTGTCTAGTGGCTCCCAGCTTTCAGCCCCACAGCCGGCAGATGGAACAGGTCTGGTTCCAGCCTCACAGCCAGAAACCAGCCCGAATTTCAGGGAAATAAAGGTGCAGTCTCATGATACCATCCAGCACCCTCCACAGGGTACCTCATAGAGCAACTCTGGCGTGCTGTGATAAATGAACACAGATCTGCACTGTCTCCACACACTGTCTACCAGCAACAGCAGACAAACCTAGAAGTGGACATTTTTTTCTTAGTTGTTTAATCGTGTGTGAACGTAGTTTTTTATGGTTGTCATTCTTTTTTTTCCTTCTCTTTCCTGCCTGTATTCGCCAGTTTCCCAAAGTTTGTGTGATCTTCCTCTGTCCTCCACCCTTGCTTTTAATTTCGTTCTCTATTTTCTTTCTGTAACCCTTTAAAATCTCCCCGAGGATTAAATCATCATTTTGAGGGCTTGTTTACTATGTACAATTTTCTGGCTTACTGCAACACACAGCTCCTGTATTCCTTGGCAAAGGGCCCCGGGCTCCCATTCCCCTTAGCCCATGTCAGGGTGCGGGGCTCAGGCAGCCCCTCATGCTGCACACGGCACGTGTACTTCTGCTCCTCTCCAGGAGGCACCACCACAGCCACCCACTTCTGGAAGGTTCCACTCCCATCGGGCCTGGTCTCTACCAGCTCCATGTCCTGGGTCAGGTCCTGCCCATCCCTCTGCCAGCTCAGGGTGATCTCCTCAGGGTAGAAGCCCAGGGCCCAGCACCTCAGGGTGATCTTACTGGAGGTGGGATCACTGGTCATGTGGGTTTTTTTTTGCGGGGGTGGGGGGGAGGATCTGAGGGAAAGGGCCAGAGAAAATTTAGGGAGCCTGGCTTCCTCCTATGCACCGTTTGTGCAGGAGTAATGTATACCTGTGAACTGAGCAGGTCAGTTGGGAGGAAGGCGCACAAAATCCATCCATGAGCCTGCAGGCAGGGGTACCCGCTAGGATCTATTCCTGCACAGGGCCAGGGAAAAGTGCCATGGCCAAGGTAAGAAGTTCTGTATCTGGAAAAAAAAAGGCAGCTTCTGGACTTGACCAAGAGCCAGGTTCCTAAAAGGCCATGGGTGTGGGGCAGGAGGTCAGGGTTTGAGAACCACCTCCTCTGCACTGCTTGGTTTCAGGCTGTGGTCAGTGAGAACTGCTGTCCAGCAACTCTGAGGCCGGTCTGCTGATCACTGTGCCTGCCACGCTGCAGCACAGCCCTGCTTCTCTGTGACGTAAGCAGCACCGCTGAGCGCACAGACCGCAGCCAGAGGAATATCAGTCAGGTCCCAATTCACAGCCTGTGACAGCAGGGTGGCACCTGCTCAGTCCCATTTACACTGCAGTGCCCCTCCCACCTACAGCAGACTGCAACCTCACAGAGGTGCTTAGTTACAGCTTGGATTGACAGATAACCTCAAACAAAACCAGAACACAGTGGGTTCATCCGGTTGAGGGATCCAGTGATCCCAGGTCACTCGGCAGCCTTGCTCTGCCGTGGGTGCCGCAGGTCCCTTGGGCAGGTCCGCCCGATCTGCTCCGGATGTGAATGGTGTGTCGCTTGTGCACGGCACTACGCCTGGTGCCTGTGCTACTCCTCACACACCATGCATGTCCACTCAGGAGGCTCTGCTGGATACCGCAGTCTAAGCTCTTTGCAGTGGGAGCCCAGGGAGGGGGTGCCGGGACCTGCTCGACACTTTGTCCAGAGCAGGGCAGACCACCCATTTCCAGGCTGAGGCAGGGTGGAGAAAGGCCAAGACTTAGGGGTGCAGGGAAGAACAGCATAGGGGAGATGGCAGACTGAAGCTTATTCTCAATTGCTTGCCTACCATTTACTGGAGACTCCTTTAACTGATTAGCTTTGACAAAAGTTGAGTTAGCCATGCTGTGTGGATCTACTTCTGGACTTACTCAGTTGCTCTATGTAGCACTGTCCAACCCTGTCTGCTACCACCGTTGTAGGCCGTGAGTTCAAATCTTTCTATTCCTGTAATTATTTTGGCTATACATATATGACTCTCAGAATCATCCTGAAAAGGGTTAGGATGTTTACTGGTATTGCACTGCCTCTGTATGGGGCAAACATACCTTAGTATTTTGTCTTCTAATTCATGAACATGACATGCTTCTCCAACTCCAGTGATAGCTCAGTTGTCAAATGCGATTCTCAATTTGTGTTTAAATATTGAAAAGTTCAAGAACTGAACATGTTCACGGAAACCAAATAATTGGTTCCGAGGCCCCAAAATTACACATATGTATTCATTTTTCCAGGATTTCAGCAAATTTAATGATATCTTTCCTTATTATGATCTTCAGTTTTCCTTAGTTTGACTGCCGGTATCACTGACTATCTCTGGAGCCAGGGTACATACAATATTTCATGATACAGTGTAAAAGAAAAAAAAAAACAATGAATATCTGAACACACTAAGATGAGCAGTCCACGTTGCCTGTGTGATGGTGGCACTCACACTGATTTGTCACTCGTGTCTGAAGGAGGCAGGGCCAGCCAAACAGCTCAGCGGATTAAAGCACCTACAAGCAGCTGCAGGGGCCTGCTGTGCCAGCCCTGCCTTCAGGGCAGGCTGAGATGGCAATTGAGACTGGGTGTGGCGGCACACCTATAATCCTAGCTCTTGAGAGGCTGTAAGTAGGTGGATCACTGCGAGTCCGATCTAGTAGTGAGACCCTGAACACCTTGTAGACCCTTCCCTTAAAAAAATAAAAGTGAGGCAAATTGCATGTCTGTCAGCCAGACATCTTTCAAATCAGATTTTCAGTTCGACTGTTACACAAAATGAGTAACACTGAGTAGATGTTTTTGACCTTTTCTGTTATAAAGTGGAAAATTCGAGCTTGGAGCTGCTTGTCAACCAAAGTATCGCTGTATTTGGATTTCAGAGAAGTATTTCCTGTTAACATATAGACATTTCATTATCTTGTGAGACTTACTCCCAAGTATTTTGTATCACCTTTGTAAATTTTTTTTTTTAAATTTTATTTATTATTTGTGTGTGTGTGTGTGTGTGTAGCTCAGCCCACCAGGGGGAGGGGCTGGCTGGCATGTGGTGCTGGGGGATTGAACCAAGGTCCCTGTGCTTCGCTTCAGCTTGTTCTAAGTTAGGTGCTTTAGACCACTGAGCCATCTCACCAGCCCCCTCACCTTTGTAAATAGCACTGATTTTAATATAAATTTCCAATTCCATATAGAACAATTTTTAATCTAAAATACAACTGATTTTTGTACATTTATTTTGTATCCTGCATTCTGAACTTAATAATCACAGAAGCTTTTAAAAATATATGCCATATGAGTACCCACACAGATTACAATTTCAGTAAATGAACAGCTTTACTCATTCCTCTCCAATCAGGATGCCTTTCAATATTTTTTCTTGCTTGACTGCATCTCCTAGATGGGCATTCTCATGCCTCCCCACCTGCCTGCTCCCTTAAACACAGAGGTAGTAGGATCAGCTGCCCTGCAGCCCACAATCTCCACTCCCCAAACAGGATGCCCTCAGGCTCAAGAACTTGCAGAACACTCTGGAGCTCAAGTCCCAAACACAGGGCTGCACCGAGAAAGAAAGTGACTGGCACTGGAGCTGCGGCCCTGGTTTTGGGAGCTGCTTAGGGGCGTTTCCTGGTCTCTCTACAGAATTTGGGGTCTTCCTGCACAGTGGGCAGTGCTAAGGAAAAACGAGATGTTAGACAGTGATACAGAAACAGAGCAAGGTGGAATTAAGTGGGAAAATACCCAGAGAACAGCATCAAGCAAAGTGAAACAGTTAAATTTTATTTAACTGGAAGATGAGTTGAATTCATTGCTGGTAACTGGAACCTGAGGCTGGACTTTTTCCTTAGGAAGGTGGGTGGGAATGAGGTGAGCTGTGTTTGGCAGAGGCTGTGGTTTGGAATCTGGTTAGAGGAGCAGAATTAGAGGAGGGGAATTGGTTTTCTAAGGCTGTGGCACCCCTTATAACAACTACAGCCTGCCTATATGTCTTCATCTCTGTGTCCCCCATCATCTCTATCCCCTGGGGTAGCCTCCATGTTTGTCCCCCACCTCTCACCTGCTTGGTTCCCCAGCTGGGCCTCAGGCCGGTCCCCCCAGAGCAGATGCTTGGGATCGTTGAGGAACCGTTGGCTACGCTGGCATGTTAGGCAGGTCTGCACTGTCCAGCGCTGTCCCCGGCGGCCTTAGGTGAAAGTGCAAAAAAGAGAGTGCTTGAAGCTTATGAGAATAAAAGAAAAGGTGTTCCGCACAAGGCTCTATCCCGTGCATTATAGAATCCTCTGGCAATCCTACCTAGGGTAGAATTCCTCTGCTTGCTTTTTATCATGAACCTCACCAGCACTGGCATGAGAAACTCATCATCCCACTTCCTTGACTAAAGTTTTTCTCCCCAACTTTGTTTTCTTAAAGTCTGTCCTATTGGCTGTATTTCATTAAGAATGATGACTCTAGCACTTGACACATGTAGAAGGTACTGGTCGCCTGAATGAAGGAATCAGTGGCACTGGGGACAGGGCGGCGCCCTATGTCACACTACACCTCTTAGTGCCAGTCAGATGTTTCTTACAGCAGCATCTTTTTCCTATCGCTCAGGTAGGGAACAAAGCAAGCCATGCCCCAGGCCGTGCGTGCCGGGAAAAGCCTGCCAGACGAGCCAGCACCTCCAGCACCCTTCCTGGCGCCTCCTCCAGCAGCCGTCCCAACGGCGCCTCCTCCAGCACCCTTCCCAGCGGCGCCTCCTCCAGCATCCTTCCGGGCGCCTCCTCCAGCACCCGTCCGAGCGGCGCCTCCTTCAGCA